ATTTATTTATTTATTTATTTATTTATTTATTTATTTATTTATTTATTTATTAGGACTGCACATGTACACTTGGTGGTTTTTTTTTTAGCATCTAAATTCCGGAATTTTCCATTGCCAGCAACCACTGGAGGTAGTTTTCTTTTCCAGCAGAAATCTAGGCTTGAGCCTGGCCTATTCTAAGCTATGAGGCTTTCTGGTTCAGCATTACACACCGAGTCTATCGTAGCTTACCCAACACTACACAGTCTTGTAAGGCACTGTGCTTAAACTTCGAGTCACTTCAGAGATCTGCTTTTAGTGAAAAGGAGGAATATAGCATGTTAAATGCAAGATAGACATTACTGTACAGGTGTCATGGAGTCCTGAATATATTACTTTTAAAAACGAAAAGAAATAAAAAATAGTTTTATGGGGATGACGGAAAAAAAGTTGATTCTTAATCTTTTCTCTGTCTACTTTGTGGTATGGCTTTTCCGTATCAACTCAGCATTGCTGGTCTCTGACTTTAAGACACATACTTGTAAGGATAAAAATGTTGAGATATCTTGCTTGCACAGTGGAGTTGTCCTCATGAAATTGACATGATTTTACATGCTAGTTTCTTTTTATTTATAAAGCAAGTTGCTGTATTTGCTCCTGAAATGTTGGGTTTCGTTGACCCAATTCCTACTGCAAGGAGATTTTTTTTTTCAGATGGTGCCACCACTACACTTCCCCCACCCTTTATCTAAACCACTACACAGAGCAGAGCCGAATTCGGGCATTGTTTAACGTTCAGTTTCAGCCTGCGTGTTCTTTTCGAGCTTTTTCACTCCTAATAAAGCCGAGCTCTTATTCCATGTTGGCAGTCTAAGCTTACTAATATTGCTAAATGTTCCCACTGGAAGATTGCCAACTTTAGGCTGTGTTTTCTGTACGGTGTTTAAACTGAATGAGAAGAGCCCTTCATGTTCAGCCCTGGTCTAGATTTTACTTGCCTAAAAAGTGGATAAGAAAGACCGTTCTTTTCTGCTGTCTGCTTTTGGATTTGGGCATATGAATGAGTTCCTTTTTTTTCCTTTCGATCCGTAAAGATTTGTGTTGGGCTAAAGTGAGTTCTTACAGATAGTTTACAATGCCAACGCATTAAGCTGTGTCTGTTGCTATAGTGAACAGATTTCTGCTTAAATTGCTTCAAATATAAGAAGAGAAGGATTCAGTTCCTACCATTCTCAGATATTTATTTGCAGGAGTGAATGATATTTGAAGGCTGCAGACACCTTTAAACAAACTAATTCTCTTTCCCTTTGTCCATATATTTTCCTTCAGCCATTTGTGTGATTCCTGATCTGCATGAAAACTCCAGTGCAAAATAGAGAGAGGGCATTTTGGGGGGGGGTCTGGAAGAGAGGGACTCTTGTATGCGTGTGGTTTTCCTCATTCCCTTGCCTTTGTTTCTTCTGTCTTTCGGCTTAGGGCAGAAATGTTCTGTGGATATGATGTAGTTCAGATTTATAGCAGAGCTGAGTGCGTTTGCAGCCTTAGTCAGCTGTGAGAGATCTCCCCGCTGGGGCCCGCTCCTTTTCTGATGGAAAAGGAGCAGCTGTGAAGGTGCTGTTTCGGGCTCTTGCTGGTATTAAAGAAAGAAAAAAAAAACCACGAACCACAGCCGCTTGCACTGGAGAGGGGGAAATGGGTCATGTGATGCCAGCCATCCTACCCTATGTCACAGTTTGGAGGAGCGTTGATTGCTGTTATCCAATCATGCCTGGAATGTCTGTTTGCCACTTGGGCTATTTCTGCTGTCTGTCGCTATCAGTACAGCAGCGCTAACAGTTTGGCAGATGGGACACTTTTTCTTGGAGTTTATGTCTTTAGTTCTTAACTTCTGGCTGTGCCTGGGCTTGTTGCCGTTTCTCCCCCTCTCCCTTCTCCCGAAACTATGGCCCATCGGCTGCGGTTTCATTTTGGCTCCGGACGAAGCAACACAGCTCCGGAATCGGAGATCCTCGACCACGAGAGAGGAGATGATGACTTTTTCATGGCATTCCATACTTTGCCAAGAAGAAACGGGCCTCATCCTTTCTCCAGGCGAAGGATGGATTATGGCGACGGGGGCAACCCTTTACAGGAAACGGGCTCCTTGAAAAGAAGCACCTCCATGTTTATTCCGCAGCTGTTGAATAGCATTGATGCACGCCCCACAAGGAGTTCGTCTATGCAGATTTCGCTACAGCGCAAGGCTGTCAATGGGCATGCTGATGGGTGTGGAGGGCCAGAGTCTCCCCCAGAGGAGACATGTAACTTTTCAGATTTCGGGGAGCATTCTGACTCTCTCGTTGGAAGCCATTCTTCTTCCAGCAGTCTGCAGGCGAGTCCAGATAATTCTCCACCCAGACAGCTTGAAAACACAGGGCATGAGGTTAATGGAGGATCTGCTAATCACAGAATATTTTGTACGATACCTTCCCATAACTGGAATGAAAATGGTGTTGCCACCAGTGAAGAAGAAGAAGAAGAAGAAGCGAACAAAGCCACATCAGGATTAAACATTGGCGGGGTAAGGATTCAACATCGGGCTTCAAGCGTGGACATGCCTCATGTTACGCTGGTGCCTTTTGGTTCAGAAGATCAGAATAACGCGTCTGCCTCTGAAGCCAGGCGCTGGTCTTTGCAACATCTGCCGGACGGGTCAGCTAGTTCTGGGAAGAAATTCTTTGTTTTCCAGCTGCAGCAGCCTCCGGCAAACAACACAGGAGCTGATTACAATTTTGGCGTTACTGGAACAAAAGGGGACAGATTGGTCAGGTACCCACGGATACGCCTGGAGAGGAGCACCTCCTATCCGGTTCAGCCACATCACCTGGAACAAGATAGCTCGATGGAGGGTGATGACAGCGTGAACTCAACACTTTGTGGCAACAACAGATATGGGTCCGAAATATCCAGAAGCAATTCGGTGGAGCGGATATCTCCAGGGCAAGGGTGCACGTTTAAAATTCGCCCAGATCAAAACTCAAGGCAACAGCACTTCAGGATCCTTGTAACTCGTGGGACTAAAGAGCAAGGGCCAACTTTGGCACAAGAAAACCCTAGTAGTTCTCCTTCTGTGGCAGATCCTTCATCAGTAAGTAGAAGCATCGGCCTTGTGACAACTTAAGCTTCCACTTTGCTTTTTTTAAGGCCTGAAAACAAAAACGAGGAACTGAAATAATTTCATATGTTGCATAACTATGGAGTGCAACTCTGCGGTGCTAATAAGAATGGTGTTCCTCCAGAATAGACTTAGAGCATCATTGTTTTGTTAGGCTGAAACCAGCTTTCATTTCTGACTATACCTAGTGCAGTGTTTTGAGGCCTCCTGGTGATTCACGTATTCTTGTATTGCTTAAATCAGTGTTACATCATCTGAACACAGTTGAATTGTTAAAAACAGACATCGGTAGGCCAGAGTGCCACTGTTTATTAAAAGTGCCCGTTTTGTAAAATTTTATATTTTTGGTTAGCTTTTTGAAATGTTCTCATGATCTTTAGGTCTTTGAGACGCACAAGGATAATTCAAGGCTGAACAAATAGTGTGTAGTACATACAGTGCTCAGGACCCAAGGTTTACAATATTTATAATTGTTAGGTAGGTGCATTTTTATTAGAAAGAGTTCATATGAATTGTGTTATTTGTTCCAGCTATTTATTTGAGTGGAATAGTCATAACATAGCCAACTTTTTTTTCTTGTTCATTTTGACTTGCTAGTTTTCACCATTAGCCACAACAGTATACAGGTGTTTTGCTTGAGATAATATACGAAGTTAGAAGTGGTTGGTTGCTTTGTATTTTCAACACACACACAACAAATAGAAGCTTTACTTTCCACGTCAGCATACCTAAGAGAATGACCCATTTTAAAGTGAGCAGTGTGTTTCACTATTGCTCAGTGCCATGATCCATGGGTCCCATGAATTTTCAAACTGTAAAGTAAAGCAAATACTGTAAATGAGGGTGTTTGTCCTTCAACACTTTTACATCTGTGGTTGTGTGAAAATTGTTCTATCTGGTATTCTCAGGCTATAATTCCCCACAGGAAGCAAGGGGCTGACTGCAAGGCAGTGGTAACTATTGCATTAATAGGCTATTCCATCCTAAGTTCTTGGCAATTGATTATCAATACCTGAATGCATTCAGGGTATCCCAAGTAAAGGAGCCAAGCTTGCTGCTATAGAAATGAAGACACATTTCTTCTCTCTACGTTTTGTGTGATAACCTAGTGTAGATAAATTCATTTTAAGTATTCCAGATTAAAAGTTTGGGGTGGAGAAGCTGATTTTAAATCCCGCAAATATTTAATTGGCTTCACTCCTACTAAGGTTTAATTCTCTTTCCACATCTTATCAGGGACAAACTGAAACTGAATTAAAATGGCTTGCAGCTATTTCGTTCTCTGGATGTTTGCACTGAAGTTTTAAAAGGTGCAATGATGTTTCTGTATTAAAAGTAATTTTGTATGAGGTGCCTGAAATGCAAAGCAAAAATGAATTTAGAGACTTTAGCAATTAGTGAGGGTGGTAGAGAAGAATGAGAGCCTTGTCTAAATAATAATAATAATAATAATAATAATAATAATAATAATAATAATAATAATAATAATAATGATGATGATGATGATGATGATTAATGATAATGATAATGATAATGATAATGATAATGATAATGATGATACCAACAACAGCTATTGTTATTGTTATTGTTATTATTGATCATAACCTGCCTCTTAATCTTCATTACTTCAGAAGTGATCAAAAGCAGGAGGGTTAAGAGTAAGGCAGGAGCCTTACCTCTTACATTCTATGCCAAAGGATTTAGGCATTTTAAATTGCAAGATGTATATTTTTTGTGCTGCTTGTGTTTGCTGGGTGTAAAGCTTGAGAAGTTGACTTCTGTGAATCACATATCCCAGAATCCTCCAGCCAGCCTGACCACATTGGTTGAGTAGGAGTTTCTGAGAGTTGTATTCAAGGAAAGAAATGTGTTTTCTAAACTCTAGGGCATATTGTTCCTTATTCGGAGGGCCCAGCAAGGCGAGCAGTGGTTGAATTAAATTGGCATGCATGTCATTTAAAGAGCTGTGGAGATAATTCATTTGGAAAACTAGGAGTGACAGCTTTTCGAAATACTGAGTTTATTGCAAGTGGACAAATTATTATGAAGTCACAAAATATTATTTAAAGGCTATATCATGTCAACCTCTCTAACAGATTTCATATTCCTATCCATGTGTCAGGGAAATAATTGTTATCAAATCTGGTACAGACAAGGCATTTATAAAGGAAAGGCAAATAAGCAGTTTTACCTCACCTTAAAAATGTATATGTCTTCTATAGGTATGCTATCAAATGAAGAAATGCTAGATTAACCATTTGACAAAGCAAATAATTTAAGTATTAAATAAGTCAGAGTAAGATATCTTTGCTGTGGATGACAACAACAGGATTTTAAAGTGTTTAATGACAATTTAATAATTGTGAAGTCCAGTTATTGGAAGTCCTCCCTTCCATATCAGACAGTGTCAGCTGCGTATTTGATAAAGCATGATGCCTTTGGTTGCAGTGTAGACATGACAAATTGAGTGTCTCAATTTTGTTCTGTCTCCAAAGGCAAAATCCTCGTTCATCGATATGGTTTTCATTGCCGTATTTTGACAGACAGGGACATTCTTTTTTCCTTCTAGGACAGCGATAGAGATCTTGTGATCAGTTATTATAATTTCCATAAGCCATAGCCAACATGGACAGTGATTATGGACAGTGGAGGCTGTAGTCGAACAGTATCTAGAGCACCACAACTTTCACACATTACTTTTAGAGACAGTATAACCTGCCCTATGATAAGCAGAGACCTTTAAATTTCTGTTTCTTACAATTTACCATGTATAAAACAAAAAGTGCACAAGACAAAAAAATATTTTTAAAAATCTTTGTTTTGGCCTGAGGAATATCTATTTATTCCTTTGATTACATTTTCCAAGGAGTCACTTATTTATAGAAGCCAATGTTAATTTGCCCTCTTTTTTCTCCTCCTGTAAGAAGAATGGGATATGTGACTGAGTAATATCCCAACTGATTTTAGGACATATTTTTCTCCCAACTAACTTAAAGTATTTGGAAGATAAAGGCCCCATGTACTTTGGTGAACAAGAAATGATCCATACAAACAAACCTTTTTTTTTATCAAGCCACAAGTTTTTCTTATTTTCTTCCTCCAAGATACATTGATTTGGCCGAAGGTAGTAAAAGCATCACATAAACAGTTTGCTTTTTCTTTGTACATTAGATAATGATTTGTAGTAATTTATAAGTGATACAGTTTTTGCTTCATGAATGAGTAATTAAAAGTTGTGCTTGCTTAACAATTCACTAAGCCCTGCTATTACCTACAAATGGCTACACTTTAACAATCAAATATACTGTACATGATATGGTTGTGATGCTCATGAAGTTTGATGTGCATATGGCTGCACTTTTCTGTCATTTTCCGTGTTGTGGGCAGTTTCTGGAAAATGCAGGCACCTGTCAAGTCCAGATTTCCACATCTGAAATGTAAGCACTTACATAGACAAGTGTTGTCCATGTGAGGTGGTGTTCCATGTGCACATCTACCCACCTGACTGGAGTCACCTGATTTAGCAGCAGTTTTTCCTTTCTGCTTAATATTGTATGCTTCATTTATAGCTGGGTCTGATAAATTCATGTCTGCTTGTCACCTCTTTTCATCTCTATTGGAATTATTAGCATATCCTTATAGTGGCTTGTGTAGAAGTGTTTGGGATGATCGGTTCTCTTGAAAGAAAGAAACTTTGCATGGAAATTTGCTTACATAAGGATCGTGGGCATCTTCTTTTGTTTTGTTTTTACTTTATGGTATCCATTGCTTACTTTGTAAGTTAGCGGCATTGTGCAAACTATAGCAAAAATAGGAATTACTAATTTTTTAAATTACAAATGCCTTTATGTTTTGGAAATGCTTATATATAGCTTTTTAATATGTAACTGCGTTTTTAAAAGAAATGTTTTTAAAGATATAAGCCTCCTTGGGTGATTTGACACAAAGGCAGTATGTAAACACAGTAAAGCGTAAATACAGTGCAGATAGACAAGGTATTGGCCAGTGGTTCAGCAATCCCTTTACAGTCTAACTCACAGCAAGAAATGAGATGTGAACAGAATGCATTTGCATGTTCTATTGTATGTTGACACCCAGAAGCTTGCATTGTGGCTATAAACATGTCTACAACTATATTTAATACGTTCATGTAAACTGCTGCTGTTCCTCATCCAATTAGCTCGCTGTTTTTTCACTTAGTCTAATTTTGCAAATCAGCAGCAGCCTTATCTGTGTTCTTAAAAATGAAAAACTGTCTTCAGTACACATGCTTCGTATGCCCTGAAGCTGTCAATCAGTGATACATCTGAACCTGCAGGCTTCTTTCCCTAATTGGGGGTGTTGGAGAAGAATTGACGAATGCACACCAAATTGTGCTAAGGCAATGACTGCAACAGTTTGTCGTCATGAATTGCCCTAAAAGGTGGAAATATATTTTAAAATAGAAGTATAAAATGATTTCTGTACATTCAGATATCTTCTTATTCATGATAATAAGCCTAAATTTTCAGTAAGAGCTACCTATAACAATTCTGAAGTTCAAAGCAGAGGTAGATAAATGTATGAACGGTGGAGAATTTAAGACAGGGATTTGGCAGTCAGACTTGACCCTTTCATCATCTTCATGAAATTTACTATTTTGCACAGTCAGATGCATTCAATTTTCAAATGATAACGGCAAGTTCCCACTACAATTCTGTTTAGTAAAACTTGCATTGCCTTGAATCCTCACAAAATAAGATTTGAAACATTACATTCAACACTATAAGAAGAACTTAACTGGATCAGACCAATGATCCTTCCTAGTCTGTTATCCTTGCCTTCTACCATTGAAATATTTACTGTTTCAGTGATTTTGTTTTTTTAGAGTGGGTGTGTATATTTTATTATATGTTTATACATTATGTTAGTAATTGTAATTGGAGTTGTTAAAATCCAAGAGTTGTGCATAGTTCATTTCAATAGGTTTTGCA